AACAAGTCATTGTATGGACCACATAAGCATGCAATACGCCTTCTGGTGCAAGTCAAATGCGGGGTCGCAGCCTCAGGTGGGATCGGTTGAAGTCAAAAGACTTGATCCTTTGTCCTCCATTTAAAAAGCAGTGCAGTTAGGCCGATTGTGACTCTGAGCACGTCCTGCTGTGTTAGCTAAGTGAAAAAAACATTATGGTACGAAAAAACTTACAAGGGAAGGATCCCAAGTCGAAGTGGTCATTCGAAATGAGACCTACACTGCCAGACGTACTTTTTGATGCTGATTTCAAATCTGCATTCAAAATCTGCCAAACGATTCTCTGAATGAAGTTATGGAAGTGGTCTCCAGAGAGCGTTCAACAGGAGGAAAGCACAAAAGACATGGTTGCCGGTGTCCCCGAAGTGGCGGTTTGGAGTAGAGGTAAGCGTGACGCTCCATAAGCAAGAGGCCAAGGGTCGGGTTTGTTGAGCGATAGCACTTTTGCATTTCGCAGGACTTTTTCCTTCTGGTTGTAAATATCTTTTTATATTAGTTTTACCACCCTCGGCAACTTTTTGAACGCTCGAGGTGAAGCAGTTCCTGCTTGGACCATCTGACATCTAGATTTGAGAACACGAGGATTTCTTTGGTTATCTCGCCCTAATAAATGTTTTGGGAGGACATGTACGTACCTGCTCTTTGGACTTTTCCACATTACCAAACATCAACGACCATCTAGATGTGCATGCCCTTTCCTCTTCATCATCCCACAGTCTTCTTCGCACTCAATATCGAGATCTTCTTAAGTAGCATTCCGCAAGATAGAAGAGAAACTATCTATCAACATCTGCTCCCTCCGTGTAGGGGCGCGTCCTACATCCCAGGAACCAAAGTTCTTCAACAGGTGCGACACTACCGAGTCTGGGCAGAACATACTCCTTGTTCTTTGGTGTTACACCCATCCATATATACCATACTCTGCCGCGTTTGCCTCGTTGCGACCTTTATCTTTTAAAAACTGGCTCCAACCTCCATCTTTTTCTAATACTATCAATATCATTGCGGAGAGGAAGACTGTTAGGCAGGAACTGTTCTCTCCGAGTATTCAAAAAGTTGCCGAAGGCGGTAAGACAAATATAAAGAGATTTTTACAACCTGGAGTAAAAAGTCCTGCAAAATGCAAAAACGTTGTCGCCCACCAAACCCGATCCTTGGCCCCATGCCTGTAAAGCGTCACGCTTACCTATACTCCAAGCCACCACTTGCTGGGTACCGGCAACCACGTCTTTTGTGCTTTCCCCCTGTTGGGCGCTCTCCGGAGACCACCTCCATAACTTCGTTCAGAGAATCGTTTGGCAGATTTTAAATGCAGATTTGAAATCAGCACCAAAAAGTACGTCTGGCAGTGTAGGTCTCATTTCGAATGGCCACTTCGACTTGGGATCCTTCCCTTGTTAGAATGCACATATGCAAAATCTGAAAGGCCAACAAAGAAAATTTTGTCATTGGAAGCAGTAATATAGCATGCGATCTTTTTCTTTATAGAGAATAATTTTGAGCTATTAGTAATAGGAGTGAAAAACAGACGACGACAAATTTTTCGGTAATTCATACAAATGAATTGGACATATTTTCGCGGAATCTTATTTTCCTTTCTGAGAAGAGATACGAGCAAGATTATCGAGATGCGGGCTATTTTGCAGCGATCCGTGAAGAAAATTCGAATTGGCCTAGTGAAATCCTTTTTTCTCCATTTGGAGCTATGTGTCATCATGAATTATACTTGTTCGAGAACACCAGATCTATCGCACATGTTACACTCCCTCGACCATTTAGAAATCAACCTTGAAATGGCGGCTTTCAACGTTTCGAAAATCATAGGGCATATTATGCGCTGTAATGAGACAGGAAATTTCGAGGACGTGCGAAGGAACAAGCTATAAATGCCGCAAAATTTCACTAGGATGACGCTGTCATGACCGACAACACCAAGGACTGGGAATCTCAAGCGTCCTCTTTGAGGAGGATCGCCTTCTTCGGTGTGGCGGTGTCCACGATGGCTACCCTCGTCTGCGTGGTTTCGGTGCCAATGCTCTACAACTACATGCAGCACATGCAATCAGTCATGCAGAGCGAGGTCGACTTCTGCAAATCCCGTTCCGGAAACATCTGGAGAGAAGTCACCCGCACCCAGGTAAGCTTATAAATTCTTCTCAGGAGTCTTCTAAATATTTTATCAACTCTAGTGAATTTGTAATTTAAGGCTCTGGCCGCACCAGTCAGGAAAGCACGTCAGGCCGGAGGTGGATGTTGTGGATGCGGTGTATCTCCAGCTGGACCTCCAGGGCCACCTGGACAAGACGGAGAACCAGGATCGGACGGAGAGCCTGGACAACCTGGTAAAGACGGACCTGATGGACCAGAGCCAACCCCAGCTCCAGAATACAATCCTTGCTTCGACTGCCCTGCTGGTCCTCCCGGTCCACCCGGAAATCCAGGAAGCAAAGGAGCACCAGGAAACCCTGGCTCAGATGGACAGCCTGGAAATCCTGGAAATCCAGGAGGAGCTGGTCCCGTTGGTCCACCAGGACCCCCAGGAAACGACGGTCAGCCCGGAAATCCAGGAGCTCCAGGAGCCCCGGGAACTCTCAACGAAGTCCCTGGCCCACAAGGACCACCTGGACCACCTGGACCCGCCGGACCTCCTGGACCTGATGGCCAACCAGGTAGCGATGGAAACCCAGGACAAGATGGTGCTCCAGGACAACCTGGAGACAACGGACAGCCTGGTCCCCAAGGACAACCAGGAAAAGACGGCGATAACGGTAGTGACGGAGAGACCGGAGCTCCAGGAGGCTGCGACCATTGCCCTCCTCCTCGTACTGCTCCAGGATATTGAGTTTTTCCGTCTCAAAATCGTCTCCTGAGTTTCAAGAAATTTTTCTATAAAAGATTCTAATCAACTAAATGTCTATGCATATGCAAGATTCTCTGAAAATGATGTTTTTATCGACCTATTTGAGTGAGTTTTATGGTTTAAAAGCACATCAAAACTCGGCCGCGACTTTTGAACAAAAAAGTGCCCTAGACCAAACTTCAATGGCGACCAAGATTCTTTTGGTTTTCCTGAGATTCGAGTGAATATGGGTTCAGTTCACATCCTTGACGAATTGTAGGCATTTGACCTTTACGATGAAATGCGGATGACAACTGATGTCTCGTTTAGTTTTCGCCTTAACAGGCTTGGCCCATACCAACCGAACTTGAGTGAGTGAAAAGTTATTAGTTTGCATTTGATTCGGCCGCTCGTGGTCAAAAAGCATAGGTAGCGACGTTGAAACGCTTCATTCCTTTGAGGTTTATGAACGGAATTGCCTATGTTTAACAATAAGTCAATGACAAAAAAGGTCGCATCAAACTCAAAACTAAAAGTTGGAACCGCCTGTATACCAGTGCAATAGCGGTTTACAGGTGGCTGAAGAAAGTTGCTCGCTGACTAGCTGAGACGAGGTCTGATGGAGTTTCAATAACGGGAAAAAGTCTTATCGAGTTGCCCTCAAATGATGAAGGAGCGATTGTGAGAAAATTAGTTAGTCGTAACTATATACCCCCTGTAATTTCGAAATTCACAATCATACATCCGTTACATTCTCACACTCCAAAGTATGCCTTATTTGCCTCATCCAGACACTACAGGAGACTATCGAAGCCCTTGAATGGGAGATGTCATATAGTGCACAAGTTCGATTCCCCACTCTGCATGATTTTGTATATCATGGTTTTGTATTAACACATGAGTGACACAGATTTGACCCCATACCCACAGCTTGGATAACTGAATCACTGAATCACGGTAGCTTGAGATGAAATCGGGTGAAAAGGAATAGCAGTGCGCTTTAGGCACTATGCCAATTGTTCTGGTAATGTTCACGTGTTATAAAATTCGCGCAGAGATCGAGTTCCCAATCAGCCAGTGGTTACTGATCCTCGGCTTTGACTCCTTCGAGCGAACTGCATGCCTACAATTATTGAATAAGGATAGATTTTTGGCGTTAACCAATCCCATCTCAGAGATGCGCCCCGGACTGGCCTAGGCAGATATCGATCCGGGATTTGAACCCCTGACCATGCGTGTGAAGTTTGCCATTTGCCCCTACACCACCTCTGCCCGCCTACAATTATTATGACAGAAAACCCTCCAAAGAGTCCAGCTTATTGATTTACGACTAAGTATGGCCTCATTAGAGCTACTTAGCAATTTGGTGCGTAAATGAATACTTCGAGGAAAATTAGCTTTTGAAGAAACAAAATTGTTCAGTCGTCATCATGGAATGAAAATAGGTTCTGAAAGTCACATTGCACGTTTCCACGGAATTACGGAACGCAAGTACAGTGCGAAGTGGCTCACATGGCAAGCTTTGTCAAAAATGATTCCAGTTACAACTGTCTGGGTGGGTGGGACGATTGCTTCGCTTTCGAAAAGCTGAAAACTCGTTGATCCCGCTGCTCTTTTCCTCCGAGGGATTGGTTGGAACTTGCCTGTCCCATTATAGTCCCTAGTATAGCATGGAATAGCACGCAGCGACACCGTGTTATTTCTTGTCATACAGATGCTAAATCTGTCGGCCGCGGATTGAAAGGAATTTGGTACAGTACACTTATTCTGAAGCGACAAAGTGCTATCATTCAATTAGTTGCATGAGGTCATGCATCGCTTCTCTGCTCTGATTGCCAGTTTGGAGCAGTATATTTCCCGAACTCCCATGATTTTCCTTCCCAGTAGTCGTACAAAATATCCACGCAAATTACTCACATCGAAGGCTTGGCAATGTTCTCTCATGCTCAACTGCATGGTGCCCGGCAAGATTGCTGTGTGGTTGGGCAGCAGGACTGGCAAACGCCCTTTTGTGTTCTTCTAGGCGGAATCGTCAATGGACATGCATCGTCCCCCTTTCCTTGTAGCTACATCCCTCGCTTTGAATGAAATAGACGGTGCCCTGTAGTTTGCAGATCTTCAGATGTCGACCATCGACAAAACTGGTCTCACCGTTTTTTTGTAGATTCGAGGCGATGTCAGAGATCCTTTCGTGCTTTTCAGCTAGTTTTTCCTTTAGGGTTACCAGGCTCCGTACACCTAAGCATGAGAAAGGAAACGCTTCATCCTTCTTTCGCATAAACATATTCAGTACAGTCCCAAGAAAGAAAAACCTCGGAATCACGGGAAGTATTCCGCAACAGGCCGGAAATCTGCGCAAATGGGCAATCCGTGTTCTCTCGAGACAGACTGATTGAATACCGCTCTCATCCTGCAGCGACGACATGTTTCGTGAAACACTTGGTCGCCTCAGTATGGGAGCGGTGTTCCATTTTCCTTTCAAGTTCTCCGCTGACGGTTCCACTTCCAAACTTCCCGATTTTTCCGGTTGGTTTGATATGATTCGACGTGTTCTATGTTGTGCTGATGATTGGCTAATTGCATATAAGTATGTATTATATACATATAAGGTCTAACGTTCAAACGGGCTAACGACCGGGCCGAAAGCGTACCAATAAATATGAGGAACAAAAAGCTTTGAAAATTGCGAAAAAAAAGTGAAAAGTGAAATTGCGAAAAATGAAAAACGACAATACCAAACCAATAGATTATAGTCATTGAAATCTACGACAATCTAGAAGGATTTATATAATAGATCGAAGTGAAAAGATGTCGGCTTACTCTCTATCTATGTGCGTACCTTACCGAATTCTAAAATACAAAATCGTATTTTAGAATTCGCTTCAGCTTTGTCACGCAAGCAGTTGTGCCTTCATTAAGCTTTTTTTGCGACTTGAGAGGAAGTCATCACCTCGACTTCATTAGGATAAACCTTGTAATATCGTTACTACAAGATATTCTCAGGTATGCTTCTCCTTCACCGGTTCTCATGAAACGGGAGGACTCATGCTTAAAATAAATAAATGCTAAAAAATGCTGAATGCTCCAAAATACTTCTTTCCTAAGGTGTTTTCGTAAATATCACCAAAAATGCGCGTGATCCATCGAATAACTATGCGTGGTTTGATATTTTAAACTGCTCTTAGAAGCATCTTTGCCTTACTTATTTATTTACTCTTTTACACTGAGCTCAAAACATGCACAACAATTGAATGAATGGAGAAGTGCAACAATTAGCAGTCATTTCAAGCAGGAAAAAACGACAAGAAATGACTTCGTCTCTCTCATGCCTTGTCTTCTCTCATGACTACAATTAAAAATGTAGATGATTCCAAAGTAGACGATTGTTGGACCGCTGCTCCTCAAGACTCTCTGGAAGGTCATGAATTAGCTCGATACTTAAAAGCGTCATAAAATTTGAAGTTGTACATTATACATAGAAAATACTATTGTTACCCAGATTCGGACCACGCGGTCTTCAATACAGGGTATGAAAAAAGCGAACTCGAATGTGATTGAGACTCGCTATTTCTCTCTATCAAGGCTCCCACAACTTGTGCCTGACTTGTGCGAAAAGAGTCATTTCCTTTCAGAGACTTGGACAAACATGAAACAATCCAGTGCAATGTTGGAGTTTCGAAAACTGACTAAACCAATGAAGCTAGAATTTGTGTATCTCTTAAATGGAGCAGTGTGGTCACCCTCTGTTCTGGTGATTCACGGCTAAAGATGGAAAGAGGGAACTCAGGTATCTAGTAACGTGAGGGTTTGATCCAATTTCCGAAAAATTCGGTCATTCCCGAAGCTATGTATGACATAAGAATCTCATTCGAGGGCGCAAGGGAGCAGGGAAGCATGAAGGCTGCATACAAAAACGTAGGGTGAATGAACTGAAAGAGTCGGAAAGATACACGGATCAGTGAGAGTCTGCTAATCTACAAACTCTATAGCTAAACTCAACTTCTTCGAAGGTGTACCACACCGAAATACAATTTGTAATTCTATATGCGACTTTGTGCTAATACATGATTCATTCGAAACTTCTACAAGCTAAGTGAGACGCACTGAAAAAAAGTCCACAAACCGATTGTGCTGTGATGACCTTCGAAGGATGCGTCGAAGAAATCGAATTCTCCTGAACCGAAAATAGAGTCAAGCTATTAGCGTCATGTGTTCTTAGGCGTGTTTGGGAGCGCGCAAATCTGTATAAAAGGGCCGGAAGGGTCAGTAGAAGTAAGCAAGCATGACTGGCGACGTGAAGAACTGGGAATCAGAGGCCCTCTCTCTGAGGAGAATCGCCTTCTTTGGCGTGGCCCTTTCTACCATGGCCACTCTAGTCTGTGTGCTGTCGGTGCCAATGCTCTATAACTACATGCAGCACATGCAATCGGTCATGCAGAACGAGGTCGATTTCTGCAAATCCCGATCTGGAAGTATCTGGAGAGAAGTAACCCGCACTCAGGTAAGCTACTTGACACCTTCCTAAGTTTTCGAAGTATTTCCTAACTCTAAAAAATTTGTAATTTAAGGCTCTGGCCGCGCCAGCCAGAAAAGCACGTCAGGCCGGAGGCGGATGCTGTGGATGCGGTGTATCTCCAGCTGGACCTCCAGGGCCTCCTGGACCGGATGGAGAGCCAGGAGCAGATGGTCAGCCTGGACAACCTGGCAGGGATGGACCTGACGCACCACCAGCAACTCCAGCTCCAGATGTTGCTCCGTGCTTCAACTGCCCTGCTGGACCTCCTGGTCCACCCGGAAATCCAGGAAGCAAAGGAGCACCAGGAAACCCTGGCTCAGATGGACAGCCTGGAAATCCTGGAAATCCAGGAGGAGCAGGCCCCGTTGGACCACCTGGACCTCCTGGAAACGATGGCCAGCCTGGAAACCCTGGAGCTCCTGGAGCTCCAGGAACTCTTACAACA